CACCTTAAGCGTAAGGCTAAAACTGAATTTGTATTTAACATAACAATTTAATAGAAACATTGTAAGTTACTAATCATAAGGCTTACATTTCTTCAGTTATTCAAATAGCAGCTACAGAAAACGAGCAAAGAACATCATAACTAGAGATCGACCGATATATCGATTTACCGATATTTAAGCATTTTACAATAATCGGATATCGGTTTTGTAATATCGGATTCACCGATAAATGCCGCCATCTTGTGGCTGTTTTGAGAATTGCGCGCAGGATCAACATTGCAGTGCGTCTGAGGGGAAACAAGGCAACAACAATGGCGTGCACAGGTACTTGATTTACTGTAGTTAGTAAACTTTATTTAACATAACAGCCATTAATGCACAAATTAGATGTATTACATAAATGCCTGATATGCAGTTTATGCAGCTTGGCTCGAAGAAATAGAGATTAACTCACGGAGTCACGTAAAATAATCCGTCAAGTCCTGTCACAATAAAGACGTAACTTTGCGTGAATGAAATTTAACATGAAAGACTGCTAATTTTCAACACTTTTTTTTTTAGATGACAAAGGAGGAAAAACCAAAGTGAAGCATGGACTTACTTCACTCAGTCATTTATTTACTTTATAACAGTAAATAAATATCAGTTCTGCATATCGGTTATCGGGCACATAAACATGCAAATAACTGGCATCGGTTATAAAATATCAATATCGGTCGATCACTAATCATAACCGATTTCAGGCTAGCGTGAGTATTATGCACTTTAAAAAACACTCCCGTTATAATCAGTGAAGCCATCTACACCAGTGTTCTACACCACCTGGTCCTGGGCGCCCCCCAGCACTGCACATTTTGTGTGTCTCCCGAATCCAACACACCTGATTCAACTCATTAGCTCATTAAAAGAAACTCCAGGACCTGAAATGGGTGTCAGATAAGGGAGACATACAAAATGTGCAGTGTTGGGGGCGCTCAGGACCAGGGTTGAGAAACACTGATCTACACTGTATGATGAATACATTTCTTATGCTTACATTGCATGTACATATGCACATTGTTGTTTATCAGAGAATTTGCGAGTCAGAATTCAGTCAGCGCACGCTGAACAACAAAACTCCGGTGTTTCATCGATGACTCATCTGAACTCCTCTGATTGGCTATTACATTCATAAGCCCAACATAATTGTGTGTGATTGGTTATAACTGGCAACACTGTAAAAACGTGGAAAAAGAAATATAATGGAACAAATAAGCCAAAATATGAAATAGATAGTATTACTAGCCTGATATATAATAATTACTAGCCTGAGTAATAATAATAATCGTCTTGCTATCGTCAAAGGCATCCTAGCTTATGGCTAGGAACTATACTCTTATTCCGGAGTAATAATCAAGGAACTTTGCTGCCGTACTATGGGTGCAGCAGGCGCAATGATATTACGCAGCACCTGAAAATAGGCTAACTTCCGTTCATATCGGCCTAGAAAATCGCAACTTTTAATTTTCCGTCGGTCTTAGTACACGATGTAACTACAGAAGAGTCAAGTTTTAAATAGAAAAAATATAGAAACTCTTTGGTCATTTTTGAGCGAGATGCTAACGGTCTAATCAGATTCAATGATCTATGCTAAGCTACAGCTAAAAGTGCTACCGCCAGACCCGTAGATCAGCTGAATGGATTCGAAAACGGTAAAACTCAACTGTTTAACTCTAGGGGAGTTGGAAAATTAGCCTATTTTCAAAAATAGTGGAGTGTTCCTTTAATTTGGCCAAAAGTTTCTTAAGCTTTTTTGGAACAGACTTCACATCTGGATAGTGTCCAAGATGCCATAAAATGCTGTCTACATAGGCAGCTCACTAGGTTTTGGAACAGAGCCTTCAAGTTCAGAAGGAGTGTTTTCTCACAGTGGACATGGGGCAGTTTCATGCTCATTCACCTTTCTTCTGTTTTCATCCGTTTGGGAGACTTACCGCGCTGTTTTGTCCTTCCAGATGGAAGCGGATAAGGTTTCAGTCAGCTCAGAATATGACACTGCTGAAATCGGGAGCAGAGGGGAGGACAATCGGCCACTGATCGCTGCTTTTCCTCCACCTCTGGTGCAGCCCCACCCTTCCCCTAGGTAGTACTCTACCCCCATCAGGCCTCCGTCTGTGTGTGTACAGTATGTGACCGCCATGACCCAGTCATTCTGTCATGTGACGCTAGCTCTCCCTGTGATGTAACCAGGAGAGTCTTAGATCTTTGTCCGTTACATGACCATCTATTCACTTGAGACTCTGCTGGTCTAATCTAATCTCCGCCTCAAGTGCATTTTATGTCTGCATGTCTTAATCATCCTTATTTTTTTTTTCTCCCCATAATCGTGTTTGTATTTAATTTGACAAACATTTGTTTTTATTTTCATCAACCTTATATATCATTGATTGAATGAGCTGTTATTTTTCTATAATGAATGAACAGTTACTGATGGTTATGTGTGATTCACTAATGGTTGTTAGTAACTTTTATGCTGCTGGTCTTTGTTTATAATATAATAGCATGTTTTTGTCATACTATGGCCATGTACACACTGCAGGCAAATATGGTTTTCTGTCTGTTCCTGAGTGCTTAATTTGCTAGTTTGCTGGGCTGCAAACTAACACTAATTTGGAAAATCAGTTGATCTGTTGATTATTTCTTCGATTAATCGGATGAAAATCCAAACATAATTAAGATTTTTAATTTATTATTAAGAATTCAGTGTCCTCCACTATTTTCCGAATGCACTTTATCCATGGAAATGCACTACTTTTACACGCATTTCTTCGATTAATTAGATGAAAATTCAAACATATTTTGAATTAATTTAATTGATTTTTATTTATTATTTAAAATTCTGTTCTCTCCACTATTTTCCAGATGTGGTTTGTCCATCGAAATGTACTACTCACTATTATAAAGTAGAATGATTGGTGATATTTTATGTGCACAACACACAGACCTGAAAAGTCAATAATCAAATTTGCTGGTTTATTTTTGTTTTCGATTTTATCGATTAGTTGTTGCAGCCCTATAAATTGTCATATTTTTTGGACACCAAACAAAATTGCCAACTGTTAGCCTACATGTTTTTGGTTCACAGCCGCAATATGATGTTATTAAGTCAATCATTATGAGTTCAGGAGAGACTTTTGTATTCAGTACTCAGAGTACTCACTAGTACTCACTGTGTATTACTCACTAAACAATTCTTTTGGAGATTTACTCACATTTTCACACTAGAGCTTTTACTGAAAACCAAAGTTTGGTCTGTTTGAAAAACAGTTTTCCTAATTCAGGTGTGTACCGTTCAATTAAACTCCGGTTGAGCCTCAGAACTCAACAGATTGCTCCATTAAATGAGCTCTTGAACAGTTATTCATGTGACTCTCTTACCTCTACAGATATTAAACCGGTAAATGTGATTTATTAATAGCTAGCACATTTATTTGTAACTGAGATGAAATGACAGCAGCAGCCTGCACAGGTTCTGCTTTTGATTAGACCTGCACATTTCGCTTGAACTGTCTCTTTATTTACAGTTACAGGACACGGTGCGGCATTTAATCTTTCCGCAAGTCCCTGCTAATATTGATTTTTTTTTTTTTTTTGCAGAACTGCCAAGGTCCATGTAGTAATAGCTAAATCTTTAACCCAGCACATGGTCAAATTCAGATTAACAAGAAACATCATAGAAAAATGGACTGTATTTATGTGGTCACCGAATGTGTTGGAGATCTATATTTGTTTTTTTTTTTTTTTTTTGCAGAACTGCCAAGGTCCATGTAGTAATAGCTAAATCTTTAACCCAGCACATGGTCAAATTCAGATTAACAAGAAACATCATAGAAAAATGGACTGTATTTATGTGGTCACCGAATGTGTTGGAGATTGTCTGTCATTATAGTTGTGGATTCTAGTAGGACAATTGTCAAGCATCTTTTATTGTAGATATAGAGCAAAGTGTACATGAACCTAAAGTCCTCAAACACATTTGTTTCAAGACTGTGTAGCAATTCTGCAAGGCATGCTGAAGTGAGTCTGGAGGGATTTAATGTTAATATTGGTAGTTTGCATAATGCCTAGTCAGGTTGCCTGAGAGAGATCAAAGAATTGACTTCCTCAGTTCTGGCTGCATGCACTCTTTTTTTCCTCTTTGGTTGGTTTTGAGAGCATCTGATTGGGAATCTGATTTGAATAAAGTCGTCTTGGAGCACTCCGGCTGTAATTTAACATGCAGGTCTTTAGCGTCATCTTAGTAATTGAGTATTGAGTTAAGAGAACTGTAATTTCTGTCGATGCCAAGGATGTCTGTGGTTCTGATGAGATGCCATCATTCTAATGTATAAATTTTTTGGTCATTCATTGTCTCATTTCAGACCTCTCATCTTTTAAATGTAAAAAATAATGCACTGCATTTATGATTTGAGTTCAGTGTTCAAGCTATGTCTTTCATTATTGGTATGACCAGATGCCCTGTATTTGAGGCTTTGTTCTGGTGTTACTTAAATACACCCTTTTCTCAAATTGGGTACAAATTGGTGTACTATTACTTTTTTTTGTTTAGTTTTTTTGTTTAAAGCAATAGACACAAATATATGAAAGCTTGTTTCTGCCACTGAATTAAAAAAGGTAATTGCAACTTTTAATCACACAATTCTGACTTTTTTCATAATTGTGAGTTTGCATCTTCCTTTTAAACCCCACTTTTTTTCATAATTGTGAGTTTACATCTTCCTTTTAAACCCCTTCAGGTTTCAAGCCCAATTTTGTGCCCTTTTTGTGGAAGTGCTGTTGTAAAATGCAGGACAAATTCTGCATTTTAAAGTTGATGTGTAAAGAGTATCCAGTATGACAAAATATTAAGACATCTAGTCATTGCCCATTACGGACATCAAATCAGTGCAGATATGTTTGTTGGGAACCATTTGGTTTCATCTCTTTCATGTTCTGGTTGACCTCTCTTTTTCTTTTTCCAGTTTACTGAGGCCTACCAGGGCATCGGATGCGTGGACTCCATGTGCTGTTTCTCAGAGGGGCAAAACGCCTGCTCACGGCTGGGCCGGCTGGTGGAGCGAATGATGGGCCGCTGCGACCCTGCTCGGGCCACCAGGTGCGACCTCTCTCTCTCTAGCCTCTGCTGTAAGCACATCTCCTACAAGCTGGAGCACGACGAGCCCGCGGCCCTGGAAGAGAGAGGCCTGCCAGTGCACTCAAAGCATTCCCTAATGATTACAATGTAGAATTTAAGACAGAAACGGGTGCATTCATTTGCCTTTAATGTAACAAAGATTAGCTAGAAGTTCAAGCGAGCTTCATCGCCTGGGATGCTCCAGGTATGTACGTATACATGGAAACGTAGAAAAGTTACATTGAGTCTGCCCTTCCAACCCATTGTCTTCGTCTTTCATCGTCTTCACCTTCTTTCGAGGTGCGTCCTTCTTTGCTGGTGTCGCTTTCGTGTCTTATCTCTGTGGCAGATAAATGTTCTCTGCTGAAGATCTTGTGCCTCCATACGAGTCCATAATCTCGTCATCCTCGTTCTCAGACAACACACCCAGTTATTAGCAAGGCTAACATTTGTAGCGCCAATTTATGCAAGTATTTGCTCGTCGAATGTTGGAATATGTGACTTGATCCATGGAACATCCTGTCATTACGTGTTCTGAGACGTTGCATCCCTGTTCAAGTGTTTGAATCTGCGTCGTAGTCTTTGCCTTGCGTGTGTGCCTCTCCGTGGAGGGGTTTGTGATGGCATGCGAACGCGTAATCAGCTTTTCGCGTAATCGTTTTGACTGTCTGTATCCGCACTTTGGGAAGCAAGGCGCTTCTGAAACTACTCCGCAGTGGTGAGATGAGTACAAGGAGACCTGGTCTTGCTAAATCTAAGATTCCTGTTCCAGTATAACGGCTAGAACACTGCCATTGAAGCGCAGGGTACTAGAGGAGACCTCTGCTCTGACTGGCCAATGGTAGCCACGGTCAACAGCTACCACCGCTGTGATCGGCTCATTTATCGCAAAGACAAACTCAACAAGGGACCACATCGTGATTGCGTGAGACACTGCTAACTGTAGTCTCCAAGAGGATTCTTGAGTTGTTTTTGTTCATCTTTTTTTGTTACGTTAAACTTGAAGCCTTACGGAAGTCAAATCAATCTGTCTAATTGCATGACAGCAGCGTTTCATATTTAGTGTGTTAAGTGGTGGACGAATGCCAGAGAGTGTGTGCGTCCTCCTAGAGTATTACTAGGCACTTTACTACGCTTTATCGCTGTCCGTTTACTGTCTTCGTGTCACTCAAATGAAGCATCTAAATGATTATATGTTGTTGCATTTATCAGTGATCTGTACTGCTTTTCTTCCATACGTCTTCAGATCAGTGGTTCTCAGCTGGTGGGTCATGGGCCAAAAATGAGTCACACATTGCTATGTTTAAATTAAAAAAAAAGAGGGTCAAAAGATCCTCATATCCTGATCCTATATTAGAGCCAATGGATTTGTGAGCAGCATTCCTACATGTAGGCAACCTAAGTTCGTGTCCCGGCTCGTAATCCACATCTCGCTTTCTCTCCCACTTTGCTTCTTACCAATTCCCTATGCAGTCGTGTTGCATTAAATGCCAAACATTTATCATAATAATAATAATAATTAAAATATAGCTGCAAGCAGCAGTTAAGGAGCCAAGCACAAAGAAGGAACAATGACTACAACAGTGAGTAGTTAAATACATTTTTTAATTATTTTAGTCAAAAAATACAATAAATAAAATGAAGATATACAGTCACTAGTAATACGATTTAATTGCTTATCACTTTTTACCAATAGGTGGCACTGTTATCTACTTATGTTGTTGTGAGGTGACAATGACACATAAAAAGTTTGGTGTCAATATGCCAAAGTTACAGCCTCAGAAGCAGCTTGGCGTCATGCTAACAATCATTTATGCATTACTCGAGAACTATTTGGTCTATCGAAAAGCGTTTGATAACTTTTGCCAGCATGGACGGAAGTCAGTTTCGATAAAAATCAGGCCAAAAGTTTAGGAAGAGTTAGAAAAAGTAGGTTTTCAAAGAAATTCAAATTTGCAGATTGCAAGTATGACCGAATATGGCATAAATGGTATCGATGCTCTTGGGATGATCCAAGGAAGATATCAAGACCATTTTCATTAAAATAGGCTCAATTAATCAAAAGCTATTAGAATTTTATTTTTTTAATTTCATTATAAGTTTTGACCAGAAGGTGGCACATTTCTTATATTTTGGTCCTGATGACACATACCAAGTTTTGTGACAATACACTAATGAGTTCATTAAAAAAAAAGAAAAAATAGCCATTTTTAATATCCCCTGACCAGTAGGTGGGGCTATGCCAAAACACTGCATGTAGCCTCAGGTGATGCTTACGACATGTACCAAGTTTTATTTGAATATGCAAAAATCTCAATTTGGCGTGATCTTCGTCAAATTTGTGCACATGTTGTTTGAGAACTATTTGGTTCATCAAAAAGCTTTTAATAACTTATTGCCAGAATGATCTAAGCCAATTTTGGTGAAAATCAGACAGACTAGGATGAGCTCAAAAAAGTAGGTTTTTTTAATAATTATAAATTGAAAAATTGAAAAATCTTGACCTCTAGACATTTTAATTTTGATGTCCATTTGAGTCAACATGAGCCAATGTTGGAGCTAAGTTATTAGCATTAACCATAGCATGTTTATGCCATAAACTGTTTAAGTTGAGACTGTCCTCTTATCAGTGCCAAATTTCATAACTTTTTTTCTATCGGCTGCCATAGGCTCGAGCGGAAGAAGAAGAAAACTAACAGATACAATAGGTGTCACCGTACCTTCAGTGCTTGGCCCCTAATAAAACACAAATACATCTTTTGTTGAAGTCAAAGTCTGTGCGTCCCATCACACTTTACATTGGTTTGGCACAAAATCATCTGTTGCTTGGTAGAATGAAGTCACATTAGGCAGATGCCAACATGCCCACATCCTCAAAAACAAGCAATTTATTAATTTTCTTTCACCTTTCTCATTTTTTTTATGTACTTAGGGATGATTTTGGTACTTGGTACACTGGGTCATCACACTTGATGGGTCCTAAAGCAAAACCAGTTGAGAACCACTGCTTTAGATAATAAAGGAGAGTGTTACTATGGTATGAAGCCAGTAAGCCGCATATACATACATTTAACTATATAAATGCAAATACACGTTCTGATTTCAACTTTTTACCTCCTCAAGGTCTTAAAACGGTTGTCTTCATCTGCAAAACATGATGATGGTACATTTACATTTGCCCTCTACCAGTCCTTTCTATCCAAAGATAATCGCATTATTGTAGCTATCAATGTATCCTTTATCTTATATAGCATGGATCTATTTATAATATGGCTGCGCTTCAGAGGGATTAGTCCATTGGATGAAGACAATCCCCTCTGGTGTTCAAGAGTAGCAGGTCTGGCGTTTGAGGACTATAGCTTTGGAACGGCTCCGATCCTCAAGGGCTGCTTAATTCCACTCTATTTACAAATATAATATAAATTTTATAGTGAACCTATATACACATATTTTTCTACAAACAATAGATTTACGTTATGTATATTTACTTATATACTGTAAATTATCTTTTTCATAAATAGGTACCATGCCCAACATATTCTGGCTTGGAAAAGGTTAATACTTTCATTAAGAATGTAGTCTATGTGAATGTCGAGGCTGTGGAAGTATGTTGTGTTTATATTTGTTTATTGTCTTTTAACCATCCACATTAACCCATCTTGTACTAATATGCAACTCATCCATTTCTCCATTGGCTGTGACTCTGACTGTTGCTTGCTGATCTTCATGCACAAAGAGTTCATTAGTTAAAGAGATTTATAAGAAGGGATGCACAGATAAATGAACACTCTTGTGTAAAAAAAAAAAGTATACTGGACTTTCGGGAATATACTCTGGTAACCCAGTAATTAATAACCAGTCGCAAGACATTTTACATTATGGAACCTAACAAGATGTAAATCAAGAGCTAAAATTAGACATTCCTCAGTGAGAGATTGAGTTACATGAGGTGTCCACTTGAAGTTCATTTTTATTTTTTAACTGTTATTCGATATTATATGTTTGGCATAATACAAATAATTTAGTCATTTTAAAGTGACAAACCAATTAAAGCCACGAAACGAAGAGTTGTCGCTTCCTGGAGGACGGTGTAGTTAAGGCCCATTAAAGGGATAGTTTGGCCAAAAATGTAAACTGTTATCAGTTATTCACCCTTGCAATTCATGTCATTCCAAACCCAAAACCCTGTGGTTCATCTTCAAAACAGAGATTTGCAGAACTGCAGAGATTTTTCCTTCCATTAAAAGACCAAAACTTTGACGCTTCAAAAGAGCTTAACCGTGCTTGTGCCATCTACGAGAAAAAAAAAAAAAAAACTAATTGATTTTCGCTCATTAAGTAAGCATGTTTAAGCTTGTGTTTACCATATTTGATATACTTGATGTGTCTCTTGGTCAGTTACTTTTTATGCATTGTTCTTTAACTTTTTGGTGTAAAGGACTTTGAATGGAAGGAGCGAATTCTTTAATAAAACATCTTTTGTGTTTTGAAGATGAACGAAAGTCTTATGGGTTTGGAATGACATGAGGGTGGAGTAATTAATGACAGAATTTTCATTTCTAGGCGATCTATCCCTTTAAGGATATTTTATCAAATATAGTAAGACTTAATGGCCAATAGTTATTTATTTTTCATAAATTCACACTGTTTTATCTGCAAAACAAATGTTCACAATTAGTCGTTGACCAATTTGTCATGTTTCTTAATGGTTGATGCATGGATATAATCATAATACCAGTTAAAGATTTACATAACAGTTGTTTTACACAATATATACTTAAATAAATAAAAAAAAATCTTAATAGAATAACAATTACTTTTATAGTCTGTTTGAATTGGGGGAAAAAATAGCTTGATATTTATCCAAATGCTAGCACTAAAAACTGAAACATTGTGCATCCCTAGTATTCAGGTCGTGCACTGGCCATGAACGTCCCTCTCTGGCCTATATAGCTTTGAATTGAAATCTCCAAACTGTCCACACTGTCCCCCTCACTGTTCGCACTTTCCTTGATCCTTCCAGATCTTGGAGCGACTCGGGCACCTTCTTCTCCAACGACCGGAGCATCCTGACGCTCTCACCCATGGAGGTCTCTCATTGTTAATGCACCAGCCCAAAAAGGATCAGCTCATAGAGTCTGGAGACACCTGCCCTTTACCCCGTCCCCCTGCCCTTGTCCAGTCACCAGCCAGACTGTCACACTTTAAAAGCTCTGAGTATCACATCATATGTGATCAGCAACAAGGGACAGGCAGTGGCTCCTGCAAAAACCAAAGGATTTGTGTGTCTTGAGTTTCCGCTGCTAGTAAATCCACGGAACTGTACGCGAAGGGCCGCCATCTTTCCTGAGGAAAACGAGGGGGTCTGTTTGAAGCCATATTTCCCTCTTTTAATTGCCTGATTTTCAAGGTATTAAATGTAAGCACCGTGTAGCGCTAGCTCACAAACCTGTAGCCTCCTACCCTAAGATGCCTACCTGTACACCCAGCCTGAGTTGTGGTTCGTACAGACAATCATGATGCAAGAATGTCACGATGGAGTTCTTGATGGAAAACTCGCATATCATCCTTGAACTCGATCACTTTATCCTCCATCAGTCATGTGCCTGCATATTATTTCTCGTTTCCTCTGTCTCGCACATGCTATGTTGTCATTTCTAACCATTGTCACCGGTTAATTTATCATTGTTGCCGTGTTCCTTGTTTTTCTGCTTGTGTTGCTAACCACTCGTCAAAGCTGTATGATTTTTTATTTTTCGTTTGCGTGTGTATGCGTGTGTGTATTTAATCGCATACTAGGGCATAGTCGAAGGAAAAGGTATGAAATTCATCCTACATGGGCCGTGGGTTATTGTAAGGCCAGAGCATTGAGACAACCGTTTTAAACTTGCTTAGATCAACTATATTGAAGTTTATGATATCAGACTGCATGCTGCACTTGGGTCAATCTGTCTCAATAACCCTAAGTCAACTGGACCTAAATGCTCCCGATTTGAGGAGTCTAGTCTTGGGATTTGTCTTTATTTTTGCTGCAAAGGCCGTGACGCCCTGGATCTCACAGGTATCGGCTGAAATCTGGTGCCGTGACCCGGGTGGCAGTTGGGAGTCAGATTTTATGATGGAGTATGTTTACGTTTTGAATTGTGGATTACTCTATTTTGGTACTTCTTCTCTGTAGTCTTTATTTGTATATCACTTTTTTCATGTCAATGTTCAAACCCAAAATGACTCCTGACCGCTGATCATTACTATTTCAGATCTTGTTGAAATCCAACGGCGGAAGTGTTTTGCTATATAATGTATTTTCTTGGATTATATAGCAACGCAGTATGCCACTTGTTACTCAGAGACATTAGCAATAAGACTCAATCTAGACTGGAAATACCTGATCTAGCTGTGATGTCAGTCATCCATGTTGCGTTTTCATCTTTTTTTGTGTAAACATATGTTCTTCTAATTGTACTCTCCTTACAGTGAACATGTTTAATTGCCGATGTTTATGAAAGTTCTATTTACAGAATAAATACCTTTATAAAACCCAGTGTTTTATGATTATTAGTATTCCGCATTTCAGGTTTTTGTACAGTTTTACAATGCAGTAGACTTGCTTTTATAAAATGTTGTGTGTGTGTGTAAATATAAAATACTATTTCAGTGTTTCTACTTTCAAATGTCATGTTTAATTCAATGTGTTACTTGCCATTTACTTGTAATTATTTTGTGAAATTAACTAACTTTTTTCCAAAGTAAATCCCACACAAACCTTTTTTTTTTCCAGTATAATTGTGAACTATATTAACCAGTGGCAGAAGTAATGGTGTGTGGTCAGCACTAATAGCCTCGTGGGTAGCGCACCAACATATGACGCCTTGCGCTTCGGGAGTCCCGGTTCGCAGGCCTTTCCCGATCCCATCCCCCTCTCTCTCACCCACTTCACTTCCTGCCTCATATTCTGTCCTATCCTAATAAAAAGGCAAAAACACCAAAAACAAATCTTAAAAAAAAGCAAATATTTGCATCACATTATCACTCTAGATTAATTGTGGGATGTTTTTCGCGTCACTCGCATGAATAAAAACATTGCTTATGCTCTCCATTTTCTGATACAAACTGGATTTGTGAATAAGCTCTTCTCTGATTGGCTTGTGCAACAACATATCATGCGAATTTCCGGAAGATGTGATTGAGGCAATTATTGCGCGTTTGTGGTAATCACATTGCCCAATTTGCGTCACCCGGCGCAAATTTGTACCAATTCACGTTTTTGCATTGACTTGTAGGTAATCTTCTCGTGCAAATAATTTAATTATTTTTGGTGTGCACACCATATTCAAGAGATATCACTGTGCTAAGCAGTTTTTTTGTTCTTTTTTCTTCAAGTGTGACTCTGGCAGCACAAATGTTTGCAACTACTCTTTAAACAGACTTGTACAGTAGGCACAAAGTGATTACAGTTTTATCTGCATACTTTAGTGGTTTGGTTTTGTTGGAATGCAAATACTTGCAAATTTGTTTAATGGAAGAGTCGCTTCAGTCCACAGTCATCCAGCGGTTAACCCGGAAAATCATCCAAGCATTTCAGATGGTGGACATTCAGGAAAATGGGGCCAACAAACCCATCTTCATCTTCCAAACAATGACATCATGGTACAAAATAACCACAGGGACTGAATGTTACAGGTGACAGCAAATACAAACTCTCAATATGGAAAAGAACCATTTACTCAGATATACAAGAACGTTTCTAACTTTCATTTCAGAGCAAACCTCATAAACTGCAAAACTAGAAGAATTTTGAGTCGTGCTTTCTTAAAATATTGTAATGAGTAGTGACTTTCCAATCAATTTCTGATAGCAGTTTTAAACTGGCCCTGAACCATCTTACTGATCTTATATATAATAAAACACTTTGCATATTAAGTTCTTACATGTATATACTTGGATAATATGACAACATAAGAAACACTACCATTTCATTAAACTTGTGTTCAGTGTATATTAGGGTTGGGCATTGCCAACTAACCAACACTGACCTATGATTTGGGATGCACCGGTCCAGTTCTTGCATACTTTAGGTACAGGACTTGAGCCTGAATTACCTTTTAAGTAGTGCCCGTCATGGGTGCAACAGCGCCACCCTGTGCACTGGAGACGCCAGGTGTAATATACATAATATAAATATAAAATTATAAATAATATAATACTGCATCTCCTCTGGGTGACATTTCTTCATGAGATTCTCTCATCCACCCCACAGGCCTTGCGGTGTAAAATCTATTTAAGGATTGTTATGCTGACATCCTTCTTCACTATGATCAATCGCTGCTCATTAGTGCTCATATATAATGCAGATGAACTGTTTCTATTTCAAGAGAATGATCTTGTAGTTTTCATATGTTGAAGAATGACTGTTTGAGTCATGCATATGCATTCATAATAATACTCATGTTGAAGTTTTAGTCAAGAGTCTGATCAAAGCAATTATTACAGGATGCTAATGACCCCTGACCTTTACAAAATCTTCTAATTGATTTGAATATATTGCTAAAGCACTGAATAAATCTTGAAAAGGTAAAAGCAATTTAAAGGGTGATTTCATGCAAACTCGAATGAGATTTGAGGTATTGAGGAGGGAAAAAATTAGCATATTACATAAATATAAGGAGCAATTCACAGTTTGACAATTTTCAAACTATTCCTTTTGCAAAATTAAGAAATGAGGCCTTCAATACTTAGCTCATTATCTGAAGCTTTTCTGCATGGTTCACTTTAGTGCCATCTGGTGATCATGTCCTGTGTTCCATTACAACAATCGTTATTCAATGGATTTTAAAGCGATAAAAGTGATCAAAGTTATAATGTCATTTATATGTTACTAAAGTACTTGAACGCTTACTGTCTTCCCCGAGCTGCAGTGTCAGGTTCCTGCAGTGCAGGACATTGAATCGTCTCCCGTTACTGGAGGCAAACGGAGAGAACATGTCTGCAACAGGAAGCTTAGGTTAACATCTCAAACAAGCTTCATGTGCCAAAACACACACTGTACCATCAATGAACACCAAAACCCAGCAGACTAGTTTGGACACCCCTGAATTTGTTTCTCCTGATCTTAAAAACCTTTTTATCTTAAGATCGGTAGAAATCGCATTCCAGGATTCTGTATTCCCCACTCAGTTGAAATGGCATTCCGGAGTTGTGGGGGACTAACGCCTAAGTGGTCCGTTCGCCGCGGGGCCCTCAAGCACAGGGCCCGGTGCGACCACACCAGTTGCACCCCCCTAGTGACGGCCCTGGTGGGGAGGCAAGGGTATGGCAACTGCCATACAGAAACACCACCCCTGTGCACGAAGTGGTCATGAAGCAGGCCAAGGGTGCTTTTCAAGTTTAATTTGTGCATCCTCGATCCTTTCCTTTCATCTTAGCTCCACCCCCGTTAGGATATGAGGGAAGGATGCAAGGAAAGAAAATGAGGACAGAGGAATCAAAGAAACGGTTATTTGTACATTGAAGGGACGCTTTAGTGATCAAGAATATTACAAAGCGTCATCTGCTGCGCTAAATCGATCTGCCCTTATGTTGTTAAAGTTTGTTATTTAAGACATAATAAATATTAATAAAGCAAAATGCCCTGTTAAAATATATGAGTTATTTAATCTGCAAAGGTCAAATATAAATTAAAAGTATTACGACAAGATGTGAATGGGGAGGAGAATTTATGTGCATCAGGTTTTTCGACAAAAAAGACTTCCGCACAGGATACACCGGTGTATCCTTGCTCATAGCTCCTCTGGAAGCCTCCTCGCTCCTCGTTCCTCGACTTCTAGCGGTGCAATTAGATAATTGAGATCCAGGTCACAGGATGGAGGAGCGAGGAAACAAGGAGGGATATTGAGAAGCATCCCAAGAAGTGGTGGCTCATCCCAAAGTCAGTGCTACAAAAGTCCTGATCCTAGGCCAGAGAGGCCACCCCAGAAATGCTTAGCAAGCTCTCACTGCACACACCTCTCGAACTTTGGTGGCCAATGTGCCCTGTAACGGATCTCCCTTTCTCTGTGCAGCTTGCCTTGATGTTCCAGTGGACCAGAGGAGCTTCTACAGGCACCTGACCTCCTACCTGGCCAGCATCTATGGACACCGTGGCAGGGTGTTTCAAAATACAACGAAAGGTGGAGAGCACCGAAAAAAGCTCCTCTGGGTCACTTATGTCATCAACATGAGTTTTTCTTTTACCCTGCAAAACTCTCCCCAAATGCTGCTATTTCCTAGAAAATTGTGGCCTAATTGTTGGAGTCGGATGCAGGTTCGAGTCTCAGCACTGGCAGGAGTTGTAGGTGGGTGGAGTGAATGAACAGTTCTCTCCTCTACCCTCAATACCAAGGCACCAAACCCCCAGTTCACCTTCATATTCAAGAAGGTCAGGCACAAAAATAACTGTCCATGCCCTTTCACTGCGCGTCTTTAGTAAATCCTGACAGTAATATTTTAACGCCAAAAGACGGTTTGCGCTGACACAAGCTGTTAGTAAATCTGGCCCTTTATGTTGCTTTCTCTTTGTTGTACGCCATGTGAATCTCTGACAACAAAATATTTGTTTGAGCAGCTCAGAAGAATCCATTTCAGTAATAAAGGGAAATGAATCCCCTTGTAGCCCACCTACCACAGCCCTGTACCTAGAGCAGGGGTGGCGAACGTCAGTCCTGGAGAGCCGCAGCCCTGCAGAGTTTTGCTTCAACCCTAATCAAACACACCTGAACAAGCTAATCAAGGTCTGAAGGGTTACTAGGAAGCTACAGGCAGGTGAGATTTAAATAGAGTTGGAGCTGAACTCTGCAGGGCTGCGGCTCTCCAGGACTAGAGTTCGCCACCCCTGACCTAGAGCGTTATTCACAGTCTGATCTTGGAGCTTTGGCTTTGCTTTTGTCGCTACTCACTGGGGATTTGTTTAAAAAATGTGTAAACAAATCCCTGTGTACCCTACCCACCACCGTATTTGTGAGTTGCCATTGGGGTTTCAATTCGCCTTTGTCACTTAAAATCATAACTTGATTAAAAATCGAGATTTGCTGGGGATTTGTTTAAAAAAATAAACTGAAACGACAACTGAAACGTTTATGTTTTCGGTCACCATTTGACAGGGTTTAACGCAATGTGAAAAGCCCTACTAAACTCTTCGGGACAACTTCAGTCTTTATTGAAAGTAATACCAAAATCTTATTTTATAAATAAGAATACCATTTATCATCACAGAACTACCTTAGAGCTTGTGGCAAATCAGTTTTGGAAAGATGTGTTGTTGTTCACTTTGTCTGTGAAGAATGGTTTTGCTTCCAGAATCACTTCAGTTTTAGCCTGATAAATGGGTGCGGTATTAAATCTTGTTGGTACAGTACTAACAACATTGTTTAATTCTAAAATGTATAGAGTATGAACAGCTGGAGCATCAGTCCTAGGGCCTCATTTATAAAATGTGCGTACACACAGATTTGATCTTAGTGCATACGCTTAAATCCACGCCAACGCTCATATTTGTAAAAACT